CTTGGAACTGTATAAGTTTAGTTTTTATGAAGCCGAAATACGGCCAACATTAACCTATCTGAGTGTGGACTTTATTGGTTCATCTTGAGAAGTACTGTATTCCCGAATAATATACAGGTTCTGATAATAAATCTAGATGGTGGCCACAATATCTCTTTGAAAAAACAACATATCCGCACCGAGCTTGGGTTTGTTAACAGTTTATTTGTACGTTGTAGACAGATACATACATATGATACATATGGTCATTAATATTATATTAACGGGAATTAACGCGATCTCTTATTTAGGGTATTACATACCTCTGGTTTGCCTGACGTTTCGACCAGGTTGCACCGGCCGTGGTCATAGGCTGACTGGCTCATCGGCGCACGCCCTCCGTCGTCGAATCCGTGAAGTAGAAGGCACTTCATCTACCCGCACATTTTCGATATTGTTGTTGTTTTTGTCAAGGGAGTTACAGACAAGATCGGGTCTGTGCTAAAGAAATATTCCATTCCGACAGTATACACACCAGGCATAAAGGTTCACAACATCGTCGGCACACCGAAGGATATATTGCCACTACAAACTCCTGGTGTTTATAAAATAGACTGCAGCTGCGGAAGCTCATACATAGGCCAAACTAAGCGGACCATTGCAGAAAGGGCCAAAGAGCATATCGCTGCTGTGAAGAACCGACAGACGAGCAAATCAGCGATTGCAGAACATGCACTCGAAGCAGGCATCAACCACTGGATTGAATTTCACCGCACGCAAGTCCTCTCCACCGAACGTCACTTTTACTCAAGAGTTGTACGTGAAGCGATTGAGATTAAAAAGCATAAAACTTTCAATCGGGAAGATGGTTTTAAGTTATCTACAGCGTGGAATCCAGTGTTAAAAAAATACCACCTCGCTTTTCTGCGCAATCGGTTAAACACCAGAATAGGGTCTCATCGGCGTGCGCCAATGAGCCAGTCAGCCTGTGACCACGGCCGGTGCGACCTGGTCGAAACGTCAGGCAAACCAGAGGTATGTAATACCCTAAATAAGAGATCGCGTTAATTCCCGTTAAAATAATATTAATTATCATGGAACGCGAAAGTTTAAAACTACATATGGTCATAATTTCATTGAAATATAAACCTTTACAAAATATAAAATACAAGCGGATATTTTAAAAGCTTGAGGCACCACCAGACTGGCAGGTAAGATACTATACTTCTGTGCTTTAAGGTTTTTAAAATATCGGTAGCTTTATTACTTACTTTGGTTAATAAAATCAAAGTACTCGTGAGTTTCGTTTCCCAGGTATTTGAATACTAAGTTCAAGTAAGTCTAATCTTTTTCGAGATTGAATATGACGGACACAAATTTGCAATTATATACATGTTTAGTTTTTTGAGGGTCTTGATTATGAATATGATATATAAGTATTTCGTATCAATAAAAAAAGAAAATATTGCACAAATCTATTTAAATTATATAAAGCTGAAAAGTTTGTTTGAACGCGGCAATCTCAGGTTCATTTCGAATCGAAGGCCAGCAACGTCGCGATACTGCGACGACCGCAGCGAATGCTGGCCATCAGGATCATAAGGGGGTACCGCACGATCTCCTTTGAGGCAGCGAGTCTCCTGGCCGGAACTCCACCGTGGGACCTGGAGGCGAGAGCCCTTGCGGCACTGTATCCCCCGATGATACTGATGCCCCGAGATTCGAGAAATCGATGACCGGAAATCCCAACTCCGCCAGGTCATCATAGGGGAGTGGAGGGAACGACTCGGACAACCGAGCGCTGGGCACGCCGTCATTGCGGCGGTAAGACCCGTTATGGAGGATTGGCTCGAGAGGCGTCACGGGACCCTCTCATACCGATTGACGCAGGTGATCACTGGGAAGGGATGTTTCGGAGATCACCTGTGTCTGATCCGCAAGGAGCCAACGCCTGAGTGCCACCACTGCGATGGCCAGACCGTGGACACGGCTCTCCACACGCTGGCAGAGTGCCCGGCGTGGGTTGAGCAGAGGCGAGACCTCGTGGCGGCCATCGGAGTGGGAGTTCTCTCGCTCGATAGCCTGATTGCGGCTATCGTGCGGAGCGAGAGTGCGTGGAACTCTGCCGTCTCCTTCTGCGAGCAAGTTATGCTCGCAAAGGAGACCGGGAGAGGTTTAGAACTCTCCCGGCCCGCCAGGCCCGGGCACGGGCCAGGCAGCGCAGGCGACTCAGGCGCCGGAGGTCGCAGAACAACCTCCGTCCTCCATAAGCGCAGGCCTGGGGGTGACAGGTGAGGCCATCTGTCACCCTAGCAGAAGCAGGCCGGGGTGACGGCGAGCGCGTTGCGAAGCGCGCTCGCTTCCAGGGAGCACAGGGAACATGGGGTTCCCACACGGGGGGGGTCGTCTACTTGTCTGTAGATGACCCGAGGTATGTCGGGGCACCAGGGACTTCCTTTCTAGGGTATACCTGGTTCCCCGGCTATTAGTACCCGGCGAAGGCGTGCGGTTTTAGTCGGTTCGAGTCCGACATGCCACCGACAGGTGGTATCCAGGGGGCTGACAGCTTTAGTTCCAGCACGATGGTTGTGGCGCTACTGTAGCGTCGTATTTCGCCATTTTGTGTGACGTCGAAAACTTGCGTAAGTGTGTGTATATCATTGACTATCAAAACTGTCATCGTTGACTTCACGTCAAGTCTTTAGAAGTTTTAAACTGAAAGCCGTTATCAATTGTGTTTTCCTCCGGTCTTCCCGTTGAGTTGAGATACTTGAAACTACTCTGTTTAATTCTTCGTATCGGATTTGGTGATATTTGTTTCATCCATTCTCGCCATGTCGCTATACAAGTGTTGTGTTGGGGGTTGTGCTTCAACAAGTAACACTCACAGACTATTTTGCATGCCCATGAATGATCATTTACGTAATTTCTGGATGTCATTGTTAGTGCCTACAAACCCCAGCCTACTTGGACTTACTAAAAACCAGCTTATGGCAAAACGTGTTTGTGAAAGACATTTTGATGAAACACAATTTGATCCGGCTGGTGTTAGAATACGTTATTCATACCCTTGTTTGCTGACAGAAAATGAGATCGCCCATGGCGTACCACTTGCGAAGGGTAAGTGCTTACGTAA